CAGCTTCGTCGACGCCATGGATTACTCTCTTGCTGAAGCATACGTAATGAGGAAAACGCACAAGGACAAATTGAAGAAGATGGAGAAGGAAGAACGCGAGAAGGCCAGGAACACCCATTCCGGCCCTACTACTTATGAACTCAACCACTCCAATAATCGTCGATCCTCCTGGTTGTTAAGCAAATTGAAAATTCATCCAACTAATGCTAAAACCTCCGGTATACAAATCGAGGCGCGATCTGAATGCTGAATCCATAGCATTATTGATTGCTCGATTTGTTCGATTCCTTTTCTTGTTTTCGAATCTCTCTGCTCTGCAACTCCGCCGTGTTACGTTCTTCTCTTCTGTCAGTTTCTATTGCGTTATTTGTTCATTTGTAATTGTATACTTAAATTGGACCAATCCAATCGTTGCGTTCATGTATAATTAATGCTCTCCATCTCGATGATACTTGTTTGTATGTATGTGGATAATTAAGTTGTTACTGTAGAATGAAACAACTGATTCAAATTTGATCACGCTCCCAATAGTGTGTGAATATTTCTTACCATTTCTATTACTGGATGATCTGATCTCATATTTATGATAGATAAATTTATCTCCCTCCCTCTCAAAATCTTCAGGAAAGGTAAAATACACTCTGTTCCTTAACTTTGTGAGATTGGCTCTTTAGAGAGACATTTTTGGTCGTTCTTAAAATTTGGAAAAGTTGTTCTACTGAGTCCGCATAGTCTCGTTTCAGCGTACTACAATTATTAATTTGTTGATCTCACCAGATATGTTAACTTAATAATGTTTTGATGAGAATTTTTGTTTTAAGAAAATACTTGCTCTTTTTCAATACTATTTTAAAATATTTAGTGGCAGTAAGAAAAAGGTCGTCCTCCTGGATAAGAATACATATTGTTTATGCAAAGATGTGCACAACAGTGTGTTCCTGACTGTAGCTCGAACTCGGCCTCCGTACCGACCTGAACCTTTGGGGCGGACCTGCACAAA